CAGCACCCCTGCCCTCACGTAATCGGTTTTCACAGCGTAAAGCAGCCTCTCCGCTCATGATCCACGGCGTGTTCTCCGGTGGACTGAGAAGTCGGAGAACCAGGCTTGTGAGCACGGGCTCGAGGGGCGTGCGGCTTAAACATAGGTGAGCCGGGCGCCAGCCCTGGGATCCCCTTGTCCAGAGGCCTCTACGCCGCCTCCCATGTTCAGGCTGTTCCCCAGACCCTGCGTGCGATAGTTAGCTGGTGGACTTGCACTGGGCTCGCTGCTCATGCGTGTCCACTCTGCCTGGCGTTCTCCCTCTCCCTTCGAGCCCTGAGCAGGGCCACTCACGTGCTCGTCAGCGTGGAGAACGTGAAAGCATTTTAAGCCCCGGCCAGTTTGCTCAGTGGTTAGAACATCGGCCCATGGACCAGAGTCCTGGGTTCGGTTCCCACTAAAGGCACGTACCTTGCTTGCAGTTTGTCCCCGGCCCTGGTTGGGGTCGCGTGGGTGGCAGCCACTCGATGTGTCTCTTTCTCTCTCTTTCTCCCACTCTCCCTCCCGCTCTATCTGAAAATAAATGCTAAAATGTCCTCGGCTGAGGATTAAAAAAACAAAAACAAAAAGCATTTTAATAAATTGGGTCTACGCTCCAGAAGCCTGTAACCCAGCTGGGGCGTCCATAGTCCAGCCTTCATGGCAGCACAGACTCGTCCTAAGGCAGTGTTGGGTGTCGTGGTCAATAAGCTGTCTGCTCTGCTTCATAGCTGGGTAACCATCTTTGGCATCAAATTGGCTAATTTTAATCCCGTGCTCATTAGTTACCTGGGAATCTGGCTCCCTGGAGCCCCTGTTCAGGGTCCACGTGTCTGGGTGGTGAACCTTCCTGTGTCGCAGCACCCGGGGGCATGCCTGTCACTGCATCGCCGCGGGGGGCGATACTCCCTGTCCCAGCGTGGGTGTGCGTGTGTGTGTGCGTGTGTGTGCGTGCGCGTGTGTGCGTGTGGTGGGCGGGGACGTGCACACGTTACAGGTGAAATCAGGCGAAGAGCTGATTAATCTAAATGTGTGGCTGCTGGTGTATAGTGTTGGAGACAGTGCTTTGTCCCTCCCCCCTTTCCTGTGCTGAAACATCATCCCGTGGGCGGGTATTAGGGCGGGGCCTTTGGGGAGAGGAGGTCAGGAGCCCACAGGATGGGATTGGTGCCCTGTCACAGGCAGGAGAGCCCCTCTCTGCAGGGAGAGCGGCCCTCTGTGACCTGGGGAGGGTCCTCCCCAGAACCCCACCGGGCTGGCCCCTGGTCTTGGACTTGCAGCCTCCACAGCTGCGAGGGACCGACATCTGCTGTGAAGCCCCTGGGCCTGCGGTGTTCTGTCACCCAGCCGAGCTGCTGAGACAGACCGTGCCCTGCAGAGTCCCCTGCTCTCACCGGGACAAGGCCTCCCCCCCTTTCTGCCTTGGCTTTCACGATCGCCCCAGGTTCCAAGAGAAGTGGGGTCCTGTGCTCTGCACCACCTCAGCAGAATAGGAGCCCGGGTTTCAGGAGCACGTCTGCCCTTTCCCAGCCCCCTGTTCTCGGTGCTGCTGGAGGGGGAGCAGCCCGGATGCAGGGCCACCGGCCGTGGTCACAGTGCTGGGGTCCTGTGCGCCCCCTCAGCGGCAGCGAGAAGGCAGCGAGGTGACGGACAGTATTGCCAGCCCGCAGACAGCCAGCCTGGAGGACAGGGAGGCGGTGGCCCTCGAGCACCCTCCCGTCCTGCGGGAAGAAGAAATGGTGCGGTGTGTTCTCGGTGGCTTCGGTGATGCACATTAGAATCTGTGAGATGAAATCCTCCCCTTCTAAGCATCCAGGGTTCATCAGGAAAGAGAAACCCACACTGGTGAGCAAACTGAAAAGTTTTCTGTCTCCTCCTGGCTTCACTCCAGAGGTGCTGTGACTGCTGGTCCTTGTCAGTTATTCTCATGCACGTTGCTTCAGTGATAACGGGAAACTGACGCAAGCTGGCCGGACCGTGGGTAGTGAGCTGAGGTTACGGCAGGTCGGCCAAGCTCGGCCGTCCGTGTCCACAGGAGTCCTGCTGCGTCCTTGTGCCCGTGAGGGGACGGCCGCAGAAGGCCTGGTGTCCTGTCCCGTCAACGTGTCTGTGCCTCCTCAACACCCAGCTGCATACCCCTTCCTGCATCACTGGTCAGAATTGCTCAGCTCTTGGTCTGGTCAGCCACGGCTAGGACATGTCACTGAGGGTCTCAGTCAGCTGGGCTGGCAGAGCAACCTCCACAGGCCCAGGGCTTAAATAACAGAGTCATTTCTTCCTCACAGTTCTGCTGACTTGGGCTCCTGTCCTGGTGCGGGCGCCCTCTCACTGTGTCCACGTGGAGGGGGTGGGATGCAGGCTCCCGTGCTCAGGGCAGTGCTCACAAGGACATCGACCCCATCCTGGGCTCAGTGGCACCACCTCTTTCCACCTGATTCCCCAAAGCTCGTGTCCTAAGAGCATGTGAACCAGGAGAGGACACACGCATCCATCCCCAGCAGACATGACAGGGTTCCCAGCACTGAGCCACTTCTGTCCCGGATCAGCCCTGCTGCCGTGTGACGCGTGCAGGGGCCTCGTCCGTGCTCATCTTGCCCCTCCCCCGCAGCGTTGTGTGGGAGCCCACGGGAGACGGGAAGAGAGTGATCTCGCTGGCGGACAACCACCTTCTGCTGTGGGATCTGCAGGGAAGCTCCAGCCAGGCTGTGGTAAGTAACAGGAATTCCTTTCCAGCTTCGAATTTTTAAAAAACTTACTGGTTTGAGAGAACAGGGGAGAGATTTGGCTGAATTTCGAATACTCTTCTTGATCCATGTGTGTTTAGGGTGTTGACATTGACTATTACATGGTTAATGAATGGATTAAATTATCAATCAAAGAATTGGATGATTGGCTCCATCAGGTGAAATCTGCCCAGTACTGGGCCCAAGGCTGTGTACAGATGCGACATGGACCCGGAGAGTGGACGGACGGCCCTTTATCATCAGGTGTCCCCACGAGGCAGTGAGGCGTCCTGTTTCCAGTACATTGTCTTCTCAGTGAGAAGATGTGCCCACCTGCTTGGCATCATTCTGCTGATCGGTGTTATCTTCACATCTGCGTCTTTAGAATTTTCTCTTTGAAAATGTCATTTTCATGTGTAGTCATCATTTCATTGTATTTGTTTATGTCGAAATAACTTCAGAGTGAAAAGTCAAGAAATTCGAGGTGATGAAAGTCATCACGCTCCTCGAACCCAGGGCAGGGGCAGACTGCTGCCCGCGGTCGGGGAACCAGGAGGTGGCCTTTGTGCTGGTGTGTCCTGCCAGCGTCCTGCCAGCGAGGCTCATGGGCTCCCTCCCCTCGTGTGCCTCCGTGCAGGAGCCCCCTCCTTCACCCCGGGCGGAGAGGCCGGTCGGGTGCTGACTCATCGTTACTAGTGAGTGCCGCGGAACCTGACTTTACTTATTATTATTTTTTTTTTTTCTTTATTGATTTTCAGAGAGAGCGGAAGGGAGAGGGAGAGAGAGAAACATCGATGAGAGAAAACATTGATTGGCTGCCTCCTGCACACCCCCCACTGGGAATCAGGCCCACAACCTGGGCATGTGCCCTGACCGGGAATCGAACCAGCGACCTCTTGGTGCAGGGTCGACGCTCAACCACTGAGCCACACCAGATGGGCAGCCCGTTAATTTTAAAACTCCTCATCTCCAGAAGGGAGTCTTACAGCCTTCGATTGAAATTGAGAGTTGGCTTGTTTTGTATGCATTCATAATATTTAAGGGAAAAAATCACTATTTTAAAAATTTTATTAAAAATAAAAATGGTGAGACATCTCTCTAGCATGGAGTAAGTACAATGCAAATTTTACCCAAAGTTTCAGGGTAAATCAGGACTGTTAAAGGAAACCCAATGCCTAAGATTGTCCCCTGCGGCCCCCGTGGATCTGGGGCAGAGACCTTCACAAGGCCCCCTCTGGGGGCTCGCTGGGGAGTCTGGGTCAGAGTCCGGGTAGTGCCTGTCCGCCCTCCTGCAGGCGGCTCAGTAGCTGCCCCCAGGGGCAGGGGAGGAGGAGGAGGAGGACGGGCTCCTGCTGAAGGGCTGAGGCTGCTGCCCAGGACGGTGTGGGCGCAGCCACCGGAGCCGAGCTGGGGGCGGGGGAGGCCCAGGCCAGCGACCTCAGCCTCTCGCACGAGGGTCAGCAGGCGCCCCCATGCCCTGCCCCGCAGCCGTCCTGTCATCAGACTTCGTGCACATCTTCAGGCTCCGTCCTCACAGAGCGTTTACGGGGGGTGATTAATCTGTAACTTATTTTCTGCAGAGACCAATTTAGTGTTCTCGGCCCCTCTTTTATCCGCTGTCAGCAGTCTGTCAATATCGCTCTGTGACCTCGGCCGCAGCATTTAATACCGAGGCCCTCTGATCGATCCGCCGTCTTCACACTCAGCTCCCTGATTTTTTTTTTTTATTGTTTGAGGATATTGCCTTGTGTAGTGAATCTAATCTCAGGCTCGCTGCATCATTACCCTTTGCAATTAAACTGGAGGTTCTCTGCCATTTATAATCATTAGCGGGAGCCCAGGGGAGGCCTGGGGGCGGGTCTTCGGGGTCCCGGACCCATGAAGGCAGGGGCGCCCCTTCGGTTCTGATCGGTGCTCATCCATCTCCGGCTGCAGCTCTCGCCGCCTGCGGAATAAATTGTCCTCCCAGGGCGCAGCGAGCAGAAGAGCTGGAGGAACAAGGTGGCCGTGACCCGCCGCCCTCCTCCCTGTGCCGGCAGCCGCGGGAGCTGCGGAGAGGAACCCGCCTGGGGCCTGCGCTGCTAAGGCCCGAGGCAGTGAGTGCCGGACGCGCTTTGGGGCAGCGTGGGCTCCAAGGGCACCGTGTGCTGAGAGCTGTTCTGGCCCAGGTTCAGACTGTTCCGCAGGAGGGTCCAGGGCCCGTGGGGGGGGGGGGGGCTGGGAGGGACGGGGACGCCATTACCTGCACTGTGGCCCTGTCGCTGTGCCCGGTTGTGTGGTGGGGAAGCCGAGCTGCCCTCAGGAGGAGCTGGGGGTGCTGGGCCTGCTCCCCGGCCTCGGGCGGTCGGTCACCCCCGCCCCCACACACACACACAGCTTCCTGTAGCTCAGAGTGGCTCAGGGAGAGGGAGGTGGAGAGGGAGAGGCTTGTCTGGGTGACTTCTCAGGCTTCATGTCCAGAACCCGAGTCGAAGCCCGGTGGGCTGTGTACAGTGCGGGCCTGCTGCTCACCCTCTGCGGCTACGGCGAGCAGACTCACCCGATGCCCTTCTCTGGTCTGGGTCCTGTGCTGTCCTCCTGGTCCTTCTGTGTGTGACTCGCCCAGGGCGCAGACCTCTTTGCAGCCCTGCAGCGTGGCCGAGGTGCCGGAGGGACGTGGGCGGAAGGGGTCTGACTTCGGGGCCGTGCCCTGACTGTGGGGACACCCCCACCACCTGTCCCGCTCCGGGCGAGGACTTGTGTGTTCATCTTTCCTTCTTGTCTTTGCTTCCCCCCAGCAGGGTCTTTGCAGAGCAAAGTGTTTTCATCTTTAATGGACTTTGTTGTCTGGAGCACTTTCAGGTCCTCAGTGGGACTGGGGAAGGCACAGAGGTTCCCATGTCCCTTCTGCCCCTCTGTATAGCCGCCCTGTGACCGCCGGCCCCCAGAACAGCATCGTGACAGCTGTGAGCCCACGTGGACACGAGGTCCTCCTTTCCTGCGGCATGGTGTTTGAGCACCTGTGAGAACGTGGCAGCCTGCTCACTGGTGTGGAAGGAGAGTCTTGTTGTCCAAAGCCTGGTAGGCGTGGCATCGGCCCTGGCGCATTGTCACAGCCAGTGCAGGTGGCCAAGACGGCGAGGACAGCGATGGGGGCGAGGACAGTGATGGGGATGAGGGTAGCCACGGGCGCAGGACAGCCACGGGGGGCAAGGACAGCCACGGGGGCACAGGACAGCCACGGGCACAGGACAGCCACGGGGGCGAGGGCAGCGGCAGGGCTCCCTGGGATCCCATGCCCCCTGCCCTGGCCTCATGCAGACGTGACGGGCTCAGAGTGTGCGGCGAGCTCGCCCCTCCTTGATGGTGAAGCTGCCCCCAGGACGCAGCCTCAGGCCCACGCGCTCTGACTCCCGCACCTGACGTGAGAAGAGTTGGGTTCAGGAAGCCGGCACTGTTTGAAGGTGACGGTGTGAGTGGCAGAGCTGGGACTGCAGCAGAGGTCTGTTCCACTCCCCTCCCCACAGAAGCATCGCTGGGGTCCTCACTCCTGGGCCCCAGGACTTGTGAGTGAGCATTTGAACATCTTGAATGGTCAGTAACATTTTGTCCTGTGGGAGTGGATTTGATTTCTAGAAACAGCCAAGAGTGATTTGGAGCAAAAGTTATTTATAGGATAGTTCACAAACCATGTGAGGCTGCTGGTGGGAAACCTGTGGAAACTCCACTAAACCGACATTCCAGAACATTCTATGCCGTCTGCACCACTCACATCAGTGGGACCTTTGAAGCCACATGGAGGATAGGAAGAGCGTGAGCCGGAGGGCCCGGGTGGCCCCGGAGCACAGAGGCAGCAGGAGCCACGGGCAGGGCAGGAACCAGAGCCAGGCCAGCGTGTCTGCAGAACCCAGCGGGCCTCGGGGCCGGCAGCGTGGTCTGAACGCCAGGCCGTGGGGAGCCGTCACGTGGGCCCGGTCCAGCCCGACCTCACAGACAGGAACACTAGAACCCAAGAGGGCCGGGCCTCGCCGTCACAGCAGACCCGTGTCCAGCTCACTCTGCCGTGTGACCTGCCAGGGCAACGGGAACCCCACGCACGGCGGGACGGCTGCCAGGTGGATTCCAGTGGAAACCTGGAGCCCCCTCAGCCTTCCCGAGGCCCACTCAGGGCTGTACCCGCCGTGTGTGGTCAGGCCGACACTCAGGCTTCGGTGTCTTGGGGACACGTAGACAGAACTCAGCAAGGGCTCCGGGGGTGCCGAGGTCACGGGGTAAAAGAGACTCACACTGCAGTGTTTCGAAGTGTCACCACTGTTACATTTCTCACCTGGGTTTTACCTGTGTTCCTCCACCTGTCGTCGAATCCCCTTCCCTGACGGCTGGCTCCCTGGGGCTGCCCCAGGCCTGTCCGTCCCGAGTCCGGGTGCACCGCGCTGAGCTGTGGGCCCCGAGGATGCACCGAGGTGGGGCTGTGGCACCCAGGAGTCACAGGACACACTGCCCGCGACACCGCGCAACCTCCGCAGTCTGTCTTCGGGGCCCTGTCTCTGAGCCCCTCTCAGTGTTCCTAGGAGTGAGGCCGGAGTTCCAGTGGAAGTGACGGGCTGTGTGCCTGGGGACGCCTGGCAGGGCGCTGGCCTGTGCACCGTCCCTGCCGTCAGTGGTCACTGTGGGGTGGGCATCCAGCCCCACGTCCCAGCAGTGATACAGCCGCGTGACGCTTGTGGACGTCGAATCCCAGGCGGGCGGGCGGGTGGCAGGGGTGATCAGGAGGGAGCCCTGTCCCGGCTCTGACCGGCCCTCCAGCTTTCAGGAGGCGGGGGCCAGGGACAGCCCAGTGGGCGTCCTGGGAGGTCTTCGTGCGCATTGCCTGCGAGGTCACTCGCCTGTGTGACAGAGTTAGGGATCCGGGGAGGGGCATTCAGGACCCGCCATGAGGCCCAGCTGTTGTCCTGTGTCTGGAGGTGCCGCCTGCTCCACTCTGCTCTGGGGGCAGCCAGACGCGTGTTCTTCCACCTTTGAGCAGGTCAGATGCTCCCTGATCACCCCCTTGCAAGCCCTGTTCAGTGGTGGGTCTGTTAACACGCTTTCTGTTTTTTGCTGTGCTTAGTTTTGTACTTTTTCCCAAGTAAGGGTCACCCATTCTTGCCTTTTGAGGGGAGGAAGCAAAGACCGAGCTTCCGAATTGCTTTCAGGAACTATTCCCTGCCCTTTGGGGAGCACAGAACATCCTCTTGCATTTTCTGAGACGAGACCAAATTTCTTTCCTTGTCTCCTTCCTTCGGCAGCTGGCCAGCTCAACGTCCCTAGAAGGGAAGGGGCAGCTGAAGTTTACCTCAGCACAGTGGAATCCCCATCACAACTGCACCCAGGTGGCCACAGCGAATGACACCGCTGTGCGAGGCTGGGACACGCGGAGCATGAGGTCAGTGCCGGCAGGAGCCAGGGGGCGCCCTGTGTGTCCCCTCTCTGCCCACTTCCCCCACGAGGGCCGACTGGAGCCAGATGTGTCTGGGGCACGTGGCTTGTCTGTCTTCATCTCCTTTAGTGTCTCCTCCCCAGCGTGAGCTGGCGTGTCCGTGGCCATGCCTGTGGGTGCTCAGTGGCTGTCGAGTGCCCAGTGGCAACCCCAGCGCTGGCAGTTTATCAGGAGATTACAGTCGGGCCCGTTCTCAGTCTCCACGGATGGAGACCACAGGTGGACAGCCGTGGTCCCTGGTTAGTCTGTGGTGCTGTCTGCGAACATTTCTGTCGCTGTCGGGAGATCAGTTTGTCATTCCCGTCAAGGTGCACAGCAGCCGGCAGTTCCAGTGGAGCAAACAGCAGCGGTTTTCTGTTCCAGGTGTGGTTCACAGGCCAAGGAGTGAGGGTGCACTTGTCTGTTGTCATGGCAACGGAGCCCTGTAAACCTTTGTGAGATTCCGTCTGCCCTCAGCTCAGCGCCACGTGTCTGAGCCGCTGAGTCGGTGTCACTACGACTGGCGTCGAATTCTGGGCGGGGGTCGGGGTGGAGGGTGGACGCGCCACTCAGTGTTGAGGTCCGCAGCCCTGCAGACTCAGGCCACTGAAGCAGCTGGACTCGCTGCTTGTGCCGCCTGCCCACAGGGTCCGGTTCCCGACGGGGCTGGGCTGTGGGCTCGGGTCACGAGGAGCACCCGCCATCACCCCCAGGCCTGGCGGCTGTCTTCCGTTGGTGGTGTTCTGTAAGGGAGTGCAGATTCCCAGTGTCTAAAGGCAAGAGGCTCGGCGGGTGACATTGCAGACCCCAGATAAATCCCACAGTCGTGGCTTTGGGGGTGACATCCTGCAGGTCCCACCTCTGCCGCACCGGCTCTTGGACACAATGAGCAGCTGAGGAGACACCTGGCCCCCTCACTGACTGTAACTTCTGCAGACAGCTTCTGCTTTCATTGAACCGGGCGTGTGCAGTGTCTGCTGCCAGGGTCGTGCCCTGCACTAAAGTCTGTGCCGCCGCCGCCTGCGGAAGCCCAGTGAATGCCCACCAGCCCCAGGTCTGGTCATACGTCCGTCTCACTCGGAAGGTCTCAGGCTCAGGGTGTCTTATTCTAGAGAAAATACTGACGTGGTAGAAGGTGCAGGATGTGGAAACTGGCTCAAGACAAGTGGCTGACAGCCAGATTCCCGCCTGGAGGACAGGACAGATGGACCGAGAGCGTCCACCCTGGCGAACGGAGCCGGGAAGTCCCGGTGCTGGGCTGTGGAGACTGGGAGCCCAGTGTCAGGGAGGGAGCTGCCTGGCGGTCGCCACCCGGGAGCCGGCGGGGAAGCTGCATGATCGAAGGACAGAGGTTACAGCCGAGGTCGGAGGGGACGGCAGTGTGGGGGCCGGGCGGGGGCCAGCAGAGGCCTCGCCTGTGCTGACAGCTCAGGGCTGTTCGTAGCCTTGTCCCGCCTCCCGGAGACCTTCCCAAGCTGTGGGCGTGATGTCCGCACGCGGAGCGGCCTGGCCCCGACCCTGCTCGAAGCAGCCCGCGTGGTGGGGTCGGCGCCAGGCGTGTGCGTGCACGTGTGCCGGCGTGCATGCGTGTCTCCGCCCGAGACTGCTGTGTGCAGAACAGGTGGACGGCACGTCCCTGGAGAAGGCCCTGGGCACCCGTATGGTGGGAGTGGGTGACGGACGAGCCCGCCCACGACAGACCTGACCCTCCTGTGAGGCAGCCTCCCCTCTCCCTCTCCTGCTCCCTGCCCTGCCGTCCGACCCCCCACCCCCCGCCTTCCGTGTTTCCTTGGCTCACATCCTCCCAGCCTTGGTCCAGTGTCCGAGCCAAAGCCTGTCGCCGCTGCTCCTTGGCAGGCGCAGGCCCTCTGGCCACTGTCATTCTCCAGGGACCATGTCATGTTGTGACGCGCAGACCCCTCGCCCCCCACGGCCTCAGGCCCCCCTCGCCCCCCACGGCCTCAGGCCCCCCTCGCCCCCACGGCCTCAGGCCCCCCTCGCCCCCACGGCCTCAGGCCCCCCTCGCCCCCACGGCCTCAGGCCCCCCTCGCCCCCACGGCCTCAGGCCCCCCTCGCCCCCACGGCCTCAGGCCCCCCTCGCCCCCACGGCCTCAGGCCCCCCCCGCCCCCACGGCCTCAGGCCCCCCTCGCCCCCACGGCCTCAGGCCCCCCCCGCCCCCCACGGCCTCAGGCCCCGCTCGCCCCCACGGCCTCAGGCCCCGCTCGCCCCCCACGGCCTCAGGCCCCCCTCGCCCCCACGGCCTCAGGCCCCCCTCGCCCCCACGGCCTCAGGCCCCCCTCGCCCCCCACGGCCTCAGGCCCCCCTCGCCCCCCACGGCCTCAGGCCCACCCCGCCCCCCACGGCCTCAGGCCCCCCTCGCCCCCACGGCCTCAGGCCCCCCTCACCCCCACGGCCTCAGGCCCCCCTCGCCCCCCACGGCCTCAGGCCCCCCTCGCCCCCCACGGCCTCAGGCCCACCCCGCCCCCCACGGCCTCAGGCCCCCCTCGCCCCCCACGGCCTCAGGCCCCCCTCGCCCCCCACGGCCTCAGGCCCCCCCCGCCCCCACGGCCTCAGGCCCCCCCCCGCCCCCACGGCCTCAGGCCCCCCTCGCCCCCACGGCCTCAGGCCCCCCTCGCCCCCCACGGCCTCAGGCCCCCCTCGCCCCCCACGGCCTCAGGCCCCCCTCGCCCCCCACGGCCTCAGGCCCCCCCCGCCCCCACGGCCTCAGGCCCCCCCCGCCCCCACGGCCTCAGGCCCCCCTCGCCCCCCCGGCCTCAGGCCCCCCTCGCCCCCACGGCCTCAGGCCCCCCTCGCCCCCCACGGCCTCAGGCCCCCCTCGCCCCCACGGCCTCAGGCCCCCCCTCGCCCCCACGGCCTCAGGCCCCCCTCGCCCCCCACGGCCTCAGGCCCCCCTCGCCCCCCACGGCCTCAGGCCCCCCTCGCCCCCACGGCCTCAGGCCCCCCTCGCCCCCCACGGCCTCAGGCCCCCCCCGCCCCACACGGGCCGCAGACCCCCCCTCGCCCCACACAGCCTCAGGCCCCCCCCCGCCCCACACGGGCCGCAGACCCCCCCTCGCCCCACACGGGCCTCAGGCCCACCCCGCCCCACATGGGCCGCAGACCCCCTCGCCCCATGATGACCTCAGACACCCCTTCACCCCACACGGGCCTTGGGCCCACCTCACCCCACACGGGCCTCCTCCCTCATCGCAATGGGCCGCAGACGCCCCCCCTCACCTCACACCAGCTTTGGGGAAACCACAGCCAGCGTCACCCCAGCAGGAGGCGGCGAGGGGGCGCCAGGCTCCCCAGCGTCGGCAGCGCCGGGCCTGTAAAGCAGGAGCCCAGGGAAGGTCCCCGAGGCCTGGACGGGGCGGGACTGGGTGTGCGAGTCGGGCCGCCCACCTGCTTCAGCGCTGTGCTGCTCTCTCAGTCAGAACTACTGCATGGGGAATGCCCACAGGCATTTGGTGCAGGACCTGGACTTCAACCCCAACAAGCAGTACTGCCTGGCAAGCTGCAGGGATGGCTGCAAAGTCAAGTTCTGGGACACGCGCAGCCTGGCCGAGCCCGTGGCCACCCTGGAGGAGCACTCCCACTGGTAGGCTCCCGCGTGCCGGCGGGGCGGGCCCCGGGGTCCGCAGTCACCCGCATCCGACAGGCTCAGGCCAGCTGTCTGCCCGCTGGGCCACTCAGGCAACCCCGTCTCCTTTGTTTCTGAAGAAGCTGAGGCCCAGGCCGCGTGCTTGGTGAGAACATAGCCCAGAGGGGAAGCACTGGCTGTTCTCTGGGGCGGGGCCGGCGCGGATGCGCGGCAGGGAGTGGGCACAGCCATCCACGGGCATTGTTTGCAAGGTGGGGGTGCTGGGCACAGTGCCGTGGGACAGGGAGGGGGAGCTGTGGGGGACAGTGCTGTGGGACAGGGAGGGGGAGCTGTGGGGGACAGTGCTGTGGGACAGGGAGGGGGAGCTGTGGGGGACAGTGCTGTGGGACGGGGAGGGGGAGCTGTGGGGGACAGTGCTGTGGGACGGGGAGGGGGAGCTGTGGGGGACAGTGCTGTGGGACGGGGAGGGGGAGCTGTGGGGGACAGTGCTGTGGGACGGGGAGGGGGAGCTGTGGGGGACAGTGCTGTGGGACGGGGAGGGGGAGCTGTGGGGGACAGTGCTGTGGGACGGGGAGGGGGAGCTGTGGGGGACAGTGCTGTGGGACGGGGAGGGGGAGCTGTGGGGGACAGTGCTGTGGGACGGGGAGGGGGAGCTGTGGGGGACAGTGCTGTGGGACGGGGAGGGGGAGCTGTGGGGGACAGTGCTGTGGGACGGGGAGGGGGAGCTGTGGGGGACAGTGCTGTGGGACGGGGAGGGGGAGCTGTGGGGGACAGTGCTGTGGGACGGGGAGGGGGAGCTGTGGGGGACAGTGCTGTGGGACGGGGAGGGGGAGCTGTGGGGGACAGTGCTGTGGGACGGGGAGGGGGAGCTGTGGGGGACAGTGCTGTGGGACAGGGAAGGGGAGCTGTGGGGGACAGTGCTGTGGGACAGGGAGGGGGAGCTGTGGGGGGACAGGAGCGCCCATGTCTGTCCTGCTCTGAAACACTGTTGGAATGTAGACCACGGGGCCCTGGCTCAGTGAGTGAAATCAGCAGGTAGAGCAGAGGGTCCAGGAGGAGCGGTTTTTATTCAGAGTGTGTGTGTGTGTGTGTTGTGTGTGCACATGTTGCACGTGTGCTCGTGGTGCACGTGTGCACGTGTGTCTGCGTGCAGAGGAAGCGTGCAGGAGACTGAGAGCCCAGCTGCCCTCGGGAGCTCTGGCCGAGGCCAGGGGCTCGTCACTGGAGAGCTGACACTCCGTGGTCTGTGTCTCTGAACCCTGTGAACCGTGTACCGGAAGCTGCATTGTCTCTGCCTGAAGATCAGAGCTCAGAGTGCCCGTGTGCAGCTCTAACACGTTCGGGGAGAGGCTGTAGTTACCGCCGGGCGAGCAGAGACCCCTGGCCTTTGCCACTCGGCCCTCCCAGCTTCCTGGGGGTGTGTCGGGGGAACCAGACCCAGAGCTCAGCTCAGCCTCCCCTGGCTGCTGCTCCTGGACGGGTGCCCTGGGGTTTGGCTTCAGGCTGCTAGGAAGCCCGTCTGCAGTACCGGGCGTCAGGACCTCTCGCTGAGGCTCAGGCCGCCACTGGGTCTCGTCTCTGTTGCTGGGAGTTAACGACAGTTTCAGAGAAACAGGATAAGCCTGCCCCTGGGTGGACACCACCCAGCGTCATCCCCGGCGACGTGGGGTGGCTGCCTGGAGATGCCCCCCCATCCGGAAGGCCCAGCCTGTGAGCATCTCCTTTTCCCCAGGGTGTGGAATGTCTGCTCCAACCACTCACAAGATCAGCTGGTCCTCACGAGCAGCGACAGCAGGGTCATTCTCTCAAACATGGTGTCTCTCCTCTGAGCCCTTCGGCCACCTGGTGGACGACGACCTGAGTGACCAGGAGGAGCGCCGTCCAGAGGACAAGTGAGCACTCCGGGCGGCGTGGGAGCTCCTTCTTCACAAGTGCCTCGGGCCGGTGGCCCAGTCAGAAGCTTCCGGAATGTGCTGGGGTGGGAGCCCCGCCTGGAGCGGGGCTGGGCCCCGGAGGCCGTCGGCACCAGGATGGGCGCGGGGCTGGCTCAGCGCAGCTTCAGGGGGGGACGCAAGCACGCTCCCGGGCCGTCTCTGTTCCCACATAAGGTTTTAGAACTGCTGCTGCTTTTTAAACGTGAACCTCAGTGATATGAGAACCCACACTCCGTCGCTCTAACGGCCCTGTGACAGGTGTCCTGTCTCGCGCTCTCGTGCTGGTCAGGGCTTCTGGCCTCCCTGGAGGGACGCTGTCCCAGGTCACCTCCCTGTGGGTGTCCGTGCGTCACCTGGCCGGCTCTCCCGGGCAGGAGAGCTTCACGGGAGGTGACGGGACAGCGCCCTCAATGAGGGTGACGCACAGCCCAGGACCAGGACCAGCAGGCTCGTCCCCCGGCTCCTCCGCGCAGTGAGGGGCGGCACTGGCCGGTCCCCGTGGTCCCTCTGCCACGCGGCACAGGCAGGGCCTTCTCGTCACTCCTACCGCTGGTTCCCACCCCCGGTGGGCGTTTCCCTGCCACACCCCCCCCGAACCCAGGGGCCCCTCGTTGACCACCGCCAGCACATAGCGTCCGGGCCCAGAGGGCACCAAGGTGGGGTCCGCAGGCTCCTGTGGCCACGGAGGGTCCCCAGCTGCCCGCTGGCCCGCACACGCCCCCCACGCGTCCCCCCTCATGCAGATGAGAAGCCTGGGGCCACCTCCTCACACGTCTCTGGTCCTTGCAGGAGCCAGGAGCCCCCTCAGGGTGGCATCATTATCACGTACGAGGAGCATGAGGACAGCGTGTACGCCGTGGAGTGGTCCTCGGCCGACCCCTGGCTCTTTGCCTCCCTGAGCTACGACGGGCGGCTGGTCATCAACAGGGTTCCCCGGGCGCTGAAGTACCACATCCTGCTCTGACCTGTCCCGTTCCGGCCGTGGGCCCCCAGGGGACCCCTCTGGGAGGACCAGCATGGCCTCCTCTGACCTGGGCATCCCTGACCGGTGGCCCGAGGCTGGTGGCGCTGCTGACTCCCGGACCCAGTGCCCTCACTGACCGGGAAGCGCAGCCTCCAGACCTAGCGACCCCGGCCTGCTGCCGCAGACCCGCCCGCCAGCGTCTGCTCTGTTTCTCTTCCCTCTTTCAGGGAGCTGGGCTCGCTCCACTGAAAATCTGTTTCCATAATTTTAACTCATGTTTCTCTCGAGATTAAAAACGAAATAAACAGGCGAAGCTGTCCTGCCACGTGGGCTCCTGGCTCATTCTTTCAGGACCTCTGCCCCTGACGGTTTGTGGCCTGGGCTGCTTGCTGTCTTGGTCCCGCCCAGAGGAGGCAGAGCACAGGCCGCACCCCCTCTGCGGCACAGGGCCCTCGGGAATGTCTGCGTCCGGGGCCCCCATGCGTGGGCCTGGCGTCTGGGCCTGGCGTCTGGGGAGCCCTGCCCCTGGGAGTGGCCACGTGTTCCCATCGGCCTTGGCCCGGCCCCTCCCTCAGTGCCCTGCACTGGCCCCCACGGTGCCCATGGCGTTGGAGATGCGGCTCTGTCCTCTGGTCACCCGTGCGCCTGCTGTTGGAACCCAGCGATGTTGCTGAGACCCGCGTTGTTGCGTCCACCCCTCTCCTGGGTGACCCTAAGCACGGGGCCCATGGCCTCACGCCCGCTCCTCCTGCCAGTCTGTTCTGGGTGCCGTGGGCTCCGCCGCCAGGTCCTGCAGGAGTCTCATCTGCACTGGGACCCCTGGTGCCTGCCCCCAGGACAGGAGGGCTGGAGGTGCTCCCTGTCCCCACTGCCTCTCCGGTCAGCCTCTTCCAGGGCCGGCCGGTCTGCAACCCTCTGGTTCTGGGTGGCCACAGCCGCTGTAACCCCTGGGGTGGCACAGAGTCCTGGGTTTGTTTCTGCTTCTCAAGCGAGGGGTTGTGGGGCACAAGTGGGGCCCTGAGGGAGGGGCACAGTGGGCTGTGGGGGAGGGGAGGGCAGGTGGGCTGGGGGAGGGAGGGCAGGTGGGCTGGGGGAGGGAGGGCAGGTGGGCTGGGGGAGGGAGGGCAGGTGGGCTGGGGGGAGGGGAGGGCAGGTGGGCTGGGGGAGGGGAGGGCAGGTGGGCTGGGGGAGGGGAGAGCAGGTGGGCTGGGGGAGGGAGGGCAGATGCACTGTTGGGGGGGACATGACCGCTAGAGGTCAGAGCTCCGTCCTGCTGTCCTGCTGTCCTGCCTGTGGACAGTGAGGGAGGGACAGATTGAGGCGGGGGCGCCTAGCCAGGACGGCAGGGCACAAAGAAGGACAGTGCAGACTTGCCAGAGCGAGCCCCGGAGCCCAGTGACTGAGGAGCAGGCTCTCCACTGGGGCCCAGTGAAAGTGGTGTTTTTAACTGGATGGGGTGGAGGAGTGAGGACCCCCTGCTCCTGGCTGTGGTTGCTTGTGGTGGAGGGTGGGGATCATTCACTCAGTTTCAGACATAATGACCCCTGACACCCTCGCCTTGGTGTTCGGTTCGGCATGTGCACTGGGGCTGGGGGCCCGTCTGTCTGTAGCACCGGAGAGGTGGACATGGGGCGAGAGGACTGAGAAAGGACATCTGAGGAACCAGCTCCCAAAGCCTTTTCTCCAGAGGGCTCCTCCGAGCTTCCCTGGCGGAGCAGAGCCCGCGGCTTGGATTCGGGGGTGCGTTCACGGGCCACACCTACCTTCTCAAGAAGCCCGGGGTTTCCTAGGAGATCCCTCAGGCAGGTGTGGGCGAGGAAGCCAGCACTCGGACTCGCCAGCTCCGTGCCAGCGCCCGGCCCAGGTGATGCTGCAGCCCTAGACGTCCATGGCCTCCTGTCCCCAGGGGTCTTCAGGGACAAGCTGCTGCTCTGCTCGGCCACACCCGAGGCTGTGGGGGCTCTCGGCTTCTTCCCGGGAGAGGCCGGGGATCTCCTGCAGGGAGGTGGGCATTTGTCTGTGGGTGGTCCAGACAGCACAGGGCCGCACAGCCGCAGTGTGGGTCAGAGGGAGGGGCCGCTGGCTCTCGAGGGCTGGTGGCCCCTCTCCTGTGCTTCCTGCAGGACGCTGCCACCAGTGAGGGACCGTCAGGCCCGGCCAGCATCTCTGGGTCCTCCTGGCCATGCCCGCAGCCCCTCCGGGATCACTCACCCAGCCGAGAGTGGCAGGCCCTTTGCTGAGGTCCCAGCTCTCCCAAGGCCAGCACCTGTTCCCTGGCACTTAGAACAGCCTGTCTGTCCCTCCTGATGCAGTGTGTGTTATTTTGTGACCCTCAGCACAGTGCCCGCAGGTGGAGGGCTCACCATGTGCAGCCTGGCTTTGGGCTGCTTTGAGGCTTAATTCAGAAAGTAACCAGGATGCCCTGGAGTCCCACAGTGGTCAGCGGTTCAAAGCGGTCAAGGCGGGTTACAGGAGAACAGAAGCAGCGCTGGAGGGGTCTCCCACCCTGTGGGGGCGGGAGCTGAGCCGCACAGTGCTGGGCCCGTGGCATCTGGGAGACAGGGCTGGGGCGCCTGGCCGCCGTGTGGGAGCCTGGGACTTGTGCCTGTGCGCGTGCTGGGTGCTACTTAAAAAGCCAGGTTTGGCCCTGGCCAGTTTTCTCAGTGGTTAGAGCGTCAGCCCGCAGACCAGAGAGACCCGGGTTCGGTTACCACTTGGTTGAGGTTTGTCCCCAGTCCTGGTTGGGCTCGTGTGGGTGGCAGCAAGTCAATATGTCTCTTTCACGTCGATGTTTCTCTCTCTCTCTCTTCCCCCCTCTCTCCCTCCCTCTCTATCTGAAGATAAATGTGAAAGTGTCCTGGGGTGAGGATCAAAAACAAGCCAGGTTTACACTGGATGCAGGGCTGTGAGCTGTGGCGTCTTGGACAAGCCCAGAGCCCGAGCTTCCTTCGCTCCCCCTGTGGTGGTGAGTGCCCAGCACTTGCCTCACGGTGGTCTCGTCCTGGTCACCTGGTGCTTGGGGCAAACCAACCCCAGGGAAGGCGACAGCCAGGTGACGCGCGTGGCTCCTCTGGGACAGGAGCACGTGGCTCCTCGTGGGCAGATTCACAAGCTCAGTCCACAGCATCAGGCTTCTGAAGCCTGGGTGTCTGGGTGGGGCTGGGTGGGCTGGACGGGTGGGGCTCTGTGGGCTGGTCGGGTGGGGGCTGGGTGGGCTGGACCTGTGGGGCTGGGTGGGTTGGACGGGTGGGGCTGGTCAGGTGGGCCTGGCCTCACCGGAGCCTTGTGTGCACACTGGTGCCCCGCTCAGCCGCACTGTCTGGCACCCGGCCCTCCTGTAGCTGGGCTTCCTCAGAGCAGTGGGCTTCTTCCCTGGTCTCAGGGCCTTAGGACAGAGTTCCAGCCTTGGGAGCTGGGTGTCACTTCCGTCATCTGTTGGTAGAAGCTGTTAGGAGCCCACCCAGGGGAGAGCGAGCTGTGTGCTCTGAGGTGTGTAGCCCAACCTTCACACCGTTTGTTCCACCAAGTGGAAGCTGTGACTGAGGCCCCTGAACCCAAGCCCAGCCTGGGGCCTCGGGTCCACCTAGACTTAGGGTGGGTGGTCAGTGACGACATCGCCCACGGATTGTCTCATGGCCCCAGCTCCTTTTATAGCAACAGAGCTCGTTGTGGACAAGACATCTCTCCATACGAGGCATCAGCTAGGGTTCGGCCCTGTCTGAAGCCCACACGGCACGACACCACCTCTACTGCGGGCGAGCTGAGTGAGCAGCCAGGCAGGCTTGGGGACAGCCGTCCACACGCCCGGAACGTCCTCTGTGCAGCCGGGGAGTGAGCCCGGCCTGGCCAGCAGATATGGCCGGGCCCCCTTTTTCTTTGTTTCTTTGTTTTTCTTTTTCTTCTCAGTGTGCATCTGCTTTTCTTAAAAAAAGGGGGTGGGGGTACTTTTAAGTCCATTCATTAAGTTTAACAAATGTTAAAGCAGTTTTAGATTTGCATGAAAATTGAGCAGGAAGTACAGTTCCTGTACCCTCACCCCCAATTTCTCCCTCATTAACACCCCCTCCCCCGTTCGAGTGGTTATAGTTCGTTACACTTGATGAGCCAATATCGATACATCATTACTAACCACAGTCCGTAGCAGCCCCGGGACTCGTCCCTGGCGTGGTCCACTCTGTGGGTCTGGACCGACATGTCAGCATCGCAGTGTCAGGCAGAGGGGCTCACGCCCCACACGTCCGCGCTCACCTGCGCGTCCTCCCCCGGCCCCTGGCAAACGGGGTCCTCCGCCGTCTGGTGACTGTCTTCTCCAGGTGGGCGCGTAGCTGGATCGCACAGCATCTGGCCTCTCAGGTCGGCTTCTGAGGCTCAGTCACGTGCGTTTCGTTTCCTCCGTCTTCCTGGCTCGATAGCTCACTGCTTTCTGCTCTGTTGTCTCGGTGGACCCCGGGGTGTCCGTCAGCCCCTGCAGCGCGTCCCCCGGCGTGTCCGTCAGCCCCTGCGGCGCGTCCCCCGGCGTGTCCATCAGCCCCTGCGGCGCGTCCCCCGGCGTGTCCGTCGCCCACTGCGGGGCGTCCCCCGGGGTGTCTGTCAGCCCCTGCAGCGCGTCCCCCGGGGTGTCCATCAGCCCCTGCGGCGCGTCCCCCGACGTGTCCGTCGCCCACTGCGGCGCGTCCCCCGGCGTGTCCGTCGCCCACTGCGGGGCATCCCCGGCGTGTCCGTCGCCCACTGCGGGGCGTCCCCCGGCGTGTCCGTCAGCCCCTGCAGGGTGTCCCCCGGTGTGTCCGTCGCCCAGCGCGTCCCCCGGGGTGTCCGTTGCCCAGCGCAGGGCATCGGGGTGTCCTCCAGCTTTGGCGACATGAGTCCAGCGGCTGTCAGCATCCACATGCAGGTGGTGGTGGGGACACCAGTGTTCACCTCCTGTGGGGAAACACCTGGTTTCTCTAGTCCCTGCTGTCCCAGTGCCTGGCGGGTCCCCGGGGACAGGGTGTGCGAGGCCGTCAACATCGCGTGGCCTGGGCTCCCATCAGTGGGCGTGTGTGGTGTCGATTTGCTGCTGGACGTCGCTGCTCCTCGGCCCTCGGCACCTCTGAGCACGTGGAGGACTCTCCTTGCCAATGACCAGAGCCTGCTCTTGTCCCAAACCTCAGTGTGAGTCACGGAGAAACCCGGGATCGCTCGCTGACTCCACCCCGCACCCGGGGATCCTGCTGCTCCCGTCCCCTGGCCGCCCCTGCTTCCTCCTCCTCCGTCTCTCTCCTGTCAGATCGACCTTTACACAGGCAGTTCCAACCTGGAGACACCCCAAACTCTTCAGGA